GCTTCGATTAGCTGTTTTTTCATTGTCACGTTTCTTTTCGCACTAGCAACTGATGTGACACACCAACAACTCCATTTTTCTCTGTTTCGAGCTTCTCTCATCCGCTGAAACAAATTTTTGTACATTTAACGAGGTAAATTAAAAACTCTGATCAGTAAGTAATTATGCAAACTATCCAGCAGCTCCATGAATCGCTGATCTAAAGTAGGAGAAGTAGAAATGAGAAAAAGATATCAATTCACAGCTCGTACTCATGTTAGTCGAAAAGCAGCGCGAAATAAGAAATTGGATTTCTGTAACATCGACCTAGCAAGTTGCCAATAGAGCCGAATCCCTCACAACAGATTCGTGATATCTTAGCTGACAAATGTTACATGAATTTAGCTATTTTTTAATAAAAATTATAGATAAATTTTAGCTTTTCCCTTTTATGCAATCATCGCCGAAGAAACGCACCGAAGCTCTGAAATTTCATTCACTGCGATTCATGCAAGTAAGTTTTTCTTTTAATTTTCTCTATCATCAAGTATGATGCAGCATTTTTTGGTCTGTTTTCTTATCCAGATCGATGATAACCTGATACTGACCTATGCCAGCGTCGATGCTCTACTTCGTGCATCCATTGGTTTTGCTTTATTTTTAAACAAACTTCGTCTTATTCAGAAACAGGTTCATCCGGAAAGACGGACATTACACGTTTGTGAATAGGTTACCCTTTTTCTTAATAACTTAGACAGAATAAAAAAAAATTTATAGTTTTCTAAAAATTTATAGCGAATTTCTAATTTTTGGCGACAGAGATAATACATAAAATTGAAATCACACAAGTAGTGTAATATATGGATACAAATAACGTACAAATGTGCATAATGTAATTATTTGTAGATTACATGTAAATTTCACAGCGTCGTCGATGTCCTCAAATTTTCAAATCGGAAAGACTGATTGTGACTTCCTCTTCAATATACTTGTGCTGGAAGCAATGACATGCAAATATCAAGCTTCAGTTATTTGCAGGCACTCGAAAGTATTGTGCGAGTACTGGATTCTCCGTCAGAAATTGATCCTTTATTGCAAAATCTTGGTCGAATTCACGCTAAAGTACAGGTATTTAATTGACTTTTTGAACTAGGGACATTTGATGCTAAAATTTACTTTTATGGTGTAATTAAAACAAAGAAAGACCGCCACTGCAGTGGAATGATCAGCTTGAATGGCTCAACGGAATTGTGCGGATCAGACAAGTCCAAAACAAGGAAGAATGGAGAAGTTGTCAGCCGCAACAGTGAAAACGCGACAGAAAAATAACAGCCGATTAAAGT